CTGACAACGAGTCCCGCATTAAAGAGCCGGCCGCTGTTTTGCGCGCGGCTTCCTGCCAACTTGACAACACACGCGGCGTCTTCATTACTTTCAGAGGTGACTACAAACGCGCACGTGGAACGGCGGAACGTGGGTGTTGGCATAATTAAAAACGCCACTCAGTTTGACTGGATGTGAGTGGGGTTTGGGGGGGCGGAGGGGGGCGCAGACGGAGAAGAGGGCACGGAGAGAAAGGGGAGGGGAGTCTGCTGTGGACCTTTCTTTAATGAGGATCCTAATCAAGCGCGCAGAAGCTGCCCTGAGACCCCCCAAGTTCATTAGAGCGGGGAAAACCTGACTGACGACCGGCTGCCGAGGAAGGCGCTTGCAGAGGTTGGTGGGGGGAGGAGGGAGGGAGTCGCTGGCGGAAAGTTTTCGGCCAACTAGCAAAGCAAAAAAAAAAAAAAAAAAAGAAAATTCTTTGAGTCCGGTATACAAAGTTCAAAGTTGGCAGCAGCAGGGACAAAAATCATTCTCCTTTGAAGGACGCCTGGGAAATCAACTCAACGGATGCTTCGGAGCAAAATTGCACAAGTCCCGTCTCTTTTCGCTCATGGCGTCGAGAGACTTTTTTTTTTTGTTGTTGTTGTGGTTCTAATGGTGCCTACCAAATGCTTGAGAGGCGCTGATTTTTGCTCGCACGCAATTGAGGGGCAAGCGAAAGCTTCGTTTTGTCACTTTGGAACAGAGGGCGGCTGGTTAACGGAGATGAGGAGCGCGGAGGCCGTCGTGAAAACTCGATCAATGCCAAAAGCCCAACGGCAGTCGCCAAAAAGAAAAAGTGGACGGGGGTGGGGGGGGGGAGATAACAGAGCGGGTCACTGGCCAAGTCACGCCTGCCATCGATCCTCTGATTGGCCGTCTGGACGCTTCAACACGGCTGCCACAGCCTTTGATACGCACGTCTGCGCCGCCGCGTGTAATAAATAACGCGCGCTGACGCTTGCGGGAGCGAGTGTCAGCCCTCTGCACTTTGCGGGCCTTTCCTGCAGCCTATTCGATACCGCCGCCCGCGTTAAAGGCCACCGTGGTGGGTGGGTGTGCGCGTGTGTCACGTTTTATGCGTCAGATGATTGAACACAGCCCCCCCCCCCCCACCTGATGCTGCTCGTACTTCTCCGATATCGAACTTCAGAGATCACAATGACACAATTGTGGGGAAAAAAAGACAAACGAGCAAAAACTTGATGCGCATCAGGATTCGCTCGATTTAGCGCCAACTACTGGTGAGAAGGAATTATGCAATGTCAGCTACCTCGATTTTTTGCTTTGGTCACTGAGAGGTTTCTTGCCATTCAAGTTTGCAACTTTGGAAATGGCTTTTATTTGGAACCCTGAAGGAGAACCGCTGCAACGGCCCACAAGTGGCCCGCGACCTCCCACTTGACACCTGCGCTTGGTCGAATCGCAAATTTGTCCAACAGCCAACAGGCTCCACTAAGCCCCCCCCTGTCCGCGTCTCGCCGCGTGACAATAATCACCTGCTTTGGTTGAAGAGCAAACATCGAGTTTTCATCCCAAATGTGTTTGCCGCTTGTTCGTGGCACTGGCTTCAAGAAAAAAACTAAACAAAACACGGAAACAGTCAAGTTTGTCAACCTAATACGATTGGTGCATTTGATAAGCACATGATCCTAATCGTGGCGCCCTTTGCCAAAGCAATTAGTGCTCCATTCGAAGTTTGTGAGACATTATCTGCCGCCGACAGCCTGAGGGACATCCGCAATCGCACCTTCATTATTCACGGGGTAATTAAGTTCAGAGGTGTTTTGCGCCGCAAACTTTCCGCCGCGGTGGCGCCAAGCCGAACGCCGTCCCGCGCCGCGATTCTTGTTTTTGAGCGCCAGCGAGCCGGTCCCGCAAGAGCATCCGCGTCCGGAGATGCGAATGGTGAGCGCCTCGCCCGGAACGACCCTTCGCCGCCGGTTGCTTGACTTGCCAGTGCTCCGAACTTACATTTTGCGAGTTGAGATTTGATTTCGTTTTAATGCGCAAAGCGGAGACACGAGCTCGCTTCGGGGGAGGGGGAGGTGGAAAAACACGAGATTGCAGTTTAGCGATCATGATGCGGCTCGCTTGCGATTCAGCACAAGCGCTTACGCGCCAAGTGCGAATGACGTTATGGACAACGACGGGGTATTTTTTATTTTAAAATGGCAAAACATGCCTGCCTTTTGCAAATAAATCGATTGATGTGACATTTCAAATGCAAGCCCAACAACATACGCACTGCACAGCGCCATGGACGGTAGCGAGCACGGATACGGTCCAACTAAAAACACAAAAGAATCCCACATCATCAAGCAGGTTTTACGGACAAATGGCTTCACTTCCCCCCCAAACGTTGTCAGCTTCATGCACAATGCTAACGCGCCATGGACGGGCTAACGAAAAGGAGCATCAAAGAGGCGCCGCTTTGATACACTGGGAGCAAATCTTCTCACAGCGCCGCTGGTGTCGCATTCCAGCAGCAAGACATCGCTGGCTGCCAATTCAAGCGGCGACCTCCCAGCAGTCGGCATGAGAACCATAAGCAAAAAAGAAAAAAAATGAAAACAAACTTTGCCAACAAGACGAGTCAACTTTGGGATTCTTTTCTCTCTCTCTTTGACGAGACTGCTTGAGGAAAGACCAAAGAAGAAAAAAGGGGGGGGGGGGGGGCGGCTAAATGTTTCTCTTTTGTTTACTGCCAGCTGTCATTGGCGCTGCAGTCATGGCACGTTGCTGCCACCTGAAGGCCAACAACCAAATTGCAGCGGCACAATGACAATTCATATCAAAATGTACCCGCAGCCAAGACCGAAGACAAAATACTCCAAAGGCATGCGATGAATTGTCACAATTCACAGATGCGCTGCCACGGCTTAGTGCGAACATATCAGGCGAAATTTGCATCAACTTTGACCATCATTGAAATGACAACAACGACATAAACACACACGGTGCAGCAACTAGACAAGCAAAGCAGCAACGCAGACAAGCAAAGCAGCAACACAGACAAGCAAAGCAGCACCGAAGACAAGCAAAGCAGCAACACTCACCTTGTCTGTTGTTGTTCTTCTTCTTCTTTACGTTGCATCGCTTCCTGTCGAGTTCAGTGCGTGCTGCCGCCTGGCATGTTGTGCCGCAACGGTGAAGGCGTGCAACTTGTCATTACAGCTTGCATGCATACTGTAAAAAAAAAATAAATAAAATAAAAGAATAAATCACTTCAAAATCTAAAATAGAATCTTTTTTTTTTTTAAAGGCACCACTTTGTGAGGCCCTCGCCCCCCCCCCTCATGTAACCATGAAAAGCACACCATCATCATTCTTTTTTATTGTGATTATTTTAGTAGAGTATAAAATGAAAATGGTTTGTTTTCATAAGTAATCAAGTTCTTTTTTTATTTGAGCTTACTTCATTTATCCATTCTTTTTAATAAGATAAGATATCCTTTATTTGTCCCCCACTGGGGTAATTTACAGTCTACAGCAGCAAGATTGTGAGTAGAAAGAAGAAAAACAAAGTGTTTGCACTCACCAAATAAATGTTACAGTTTCAATGTACACCGTTCAATTAAGTGCAATATAAATGACTAATATTTTTCATTTACTATTGAGAGATAAAACAGCTGACTGAATGCAAGCGAGCATTGCAAGGCTCTTGGCAATCCTTGTGGCAATACAGTAATTGGGTGCCAAAATCGTTGTCTGACATCAGTCTTTAGCGTTGTCAGTGTTCGCGAGCTACAACTGGATTTTGTCATTATTCTTGGTGTGCAGGCTTTTTTTTCATGCATACGTTTGTTTCAATAGTCATTTTGAATGGCAGAGCTTACGGAAAATATTCAAAGATAATCATCTTACCTGCTTGCTTCGTAAAAGTCGTGTGAAGATCGTCTTCAACTTTCATAACATAAAAGTGAAAAGTAATGTCCTGTCCTCTTCCAAGCCAATGGCACGTTGGCCATCCAAAACAACAAACTCAGTGAAAACGAACTCACTCAATAACTCGCCCAATCACGAACTAACTAACTAACTAACTAACTAACTAACTAACTAACTAACTAACTAACAAAGAAAACTGGCAAAAGAGAAACAAAATGCTTTGAGGAAAAAGGCGTCCAACGGCTCCAAACAATCCCAACAGTGCAAGTGTGCAGCGGAAGTCGACACACCGGAACAATCAACGGAGTCCACCGCAGGTGCAACAGAACTTCGCCGTAAAAGCGACATTGAACGCAGCACACGTACTTTGACACTCACGACCCTACACGTGCAATAACCATTTAGATAAAGGCGCAAAATACGCAAATGAAATTGGCGCACGCAGACCACTCAGGTGTCAAAGTAGCGGCTAACGGTAGCCGCGAAACAAGACACAATACGGCAGGAATGAAGCTTCACAATAAAACAGGAAGTGGGGCAAAAACAGACGTAGAGGCGAAACAGACACAATACAGCAGGAATGAAGCTTCACAATAAAACAGGAAGTGGGGCAAAAACAGACGCAGACGCGAAACAGACACAATACAACAGGAATGAAGCTTCATAATAAAACAGGAAGTGGGGCAAAAACAAACGTAGACGTTCCAACGCGAGCGCTGATGTGTTGCGTCAATGAAAATGATTCCACGTCCGTCAAATTTATTATGCCATTACTTACGCTGCACTGAGGTAGCCAGTTTTGTTAACTTTTGTTTTGATGGCGGCGCGGACACCCGCAGCGGCTCTTGTTTTATTTTGAGAGGGAAGAACTTTCAACTGTGTTGTATGTTGCACATACATACAGCACATTTGACAATAAAGTTGCATTGAATTGAATTCAACTCAGATGTCGAAACAGAAATCACTTATTGTACGACACTCTTCAAAGCACACCATTCTCTTTAGATATATGCTGTGTGTTGTTTTAAAACGTGTCTTCCAAGTTCATGCAAAGCCATCAGCACACTTTAAAATAAAGAATTCAAATGGACTTGGTTTCACCGAGCGCTCGTTCTCTTTTATTTTGTTCCATTCTCTCGCCAAGGCTTCCTTTCCCCACTAGAGGGCAGCATTTACCAACGTTAACCTTCACAACATGCTGTGACATCAAATTAATCAAGAGCATTATTTCAAGACTATTTCTTCGAACATCAAACTGGACCTTTTGTTTTTATTGTGGCATCTTCTTCACGGAAACGACATATATTCAAAAACACACACACACACACACACACACACCACAAAATGACAATCCAGCAGCGTCTTTTGCCTCGGCTTGTCCACGGCGTCAGGAAAAAGGCTCACATCTCGCAGTCCGCCACTAGAGGGAACCAAAGGCACATCAATCCAATTGAATTTCCGCTCGGTACAATATTGACATGGAATGCATTTTTAATGACGAAACGTTAGCCGTGTAAACATGACGTAGCTGTTACATTCAACAGTTTCGTGATTCACGCGCGTGTAGACGTGAGTGGTCAAGGTTCACGCGAGCCGTCATGGGCCACGTCACCCGCCTGGCGGACACACCTCTCCACCTGTCAATCACGTGCCCTCGCGTGGCTCGCCGCGCGCATGCGCGTCCTCTCCGCTTGTTGACCTCGTGGGCGTGGTGTGCCCGGAGCCGCACGGGAGCGCGCACGTGTCTCCGCTCATGTGTGCGCATCGTGGCGTGCGCGCTCACGAGCGAAGCGAATTGCCGTCTGACTGACTTGATCTTCCTCCTCTTCCTCATCGTCAGCGTGGAGGCTGCGGCAGTGCGCGGACGTGGCGAACATGCTGGCGGCCAAAGGAGAAGGAGGGAAATAATCTTTTTTTTTTTTTTTTTTTTTTTTTACTTCGGAATTGAATTTGATTTTGCATGCGGTGACGTGCTTGGCGGAGGCGACATGTCAAACCCCAACAAGAGCAAAAAGGACAAAGAGATCCTTGCGGACTACGAGAGTCAAGTGAAAGGTAAGGCGGGAATCTTGCAGCACACGCGCACGCGCACGGTGTGCATGGTGGGGGGGACCGTCACGAGTTCATCCCGAGTGCTGCATGAAGCTGGAGGTCCTTTCGCGGGGGGAGGCTGTCTGGGGTTCAGGGTCATGGGGGGCAGGCTGGAGTAAGTGTGATCGATGACTCCCCTTCCTGTGGCCCCCCCCTATTCAGAGGGCACCATGGTTAGCATGAGCCTCCTTGCATCATGTGCCCTTTTGGAAGAAAAGACACCAACGAGGATGTGTAAATGTGAGATGAGGATACTTCAAAGCAACCACATGACCACCCATTTGCCATTTGCCAGCCGCCCACCTCCCACATCCAGTCGCATCCGTGCACATTCTTCATGATCGTGGTGGGAAATGATGTTTCATTGAGAATTTTTTTTTCTTTGGTGGTGGGGGGGTTACATGCAGTCAATCAGGTGAGCAGGACGCACAAAATAAAAACCTCATCCACATTCAGCATTCCAATGCCCCCCCCCCGACAGATGACCTTCCCTTTTCCCCTTTCGACAACATACAAGGACAATTCTGCGCACCTCAAGACATAAAATAATGAAAATGAAGACATTTCCATTCATTGTGTTCTCATCCACGTTATTGTCATCATACTGGGGGAAAAAAAAAAGAAGCGAAGTCCTTCTGTGTCTTACATGTGCAGGCGGGGATGTCCTGCATTGAAATGACCGCTCACATGCAATGAGGACCCCCCCCCCCCAACCCCCACCCCATCCCTATCCCTCTCCTCGGAACATAAAGCTCTTGTAACTATGTGCCTGGCAAGTCTGCCTCCCTGTGATTGGTGGAAAGCTGGAGGCGGCGTGTACGTATTTGAGGCGCGGACCGGCCAGGTGCACGGGAGTAACCGAGAGGACCAAAAGAACAGCCCTCAGCATTTTCGCGCACATACTACGAGTGCACTGCAGTGCTCATGAGAACACAAAAATCAGCGGCCACATTTTCGCAACCGATTCAAATGCAACCAACGGCGGCACCTTGACATTCGCGTCACCCGATGTACACGTTTTTCCAAATCCAGGTGTCTGTCGTTCAAACGGATTTTTGCTCGGTGGATGTCAAACCAGCGTGCGGCGTGAAGTCGACGAGCTTAATGTTACGCCAGAAGGAGCAGCGCGACGTCCACTGAAAAACGTGGCAAAAACTTTTGGTCTTTGCGTTCTTCTGAATGATGTCGTGACTTGAGCGCTCTCATGTTGTTCAAATCACATGAGACTTTTTTGAGGCGGCTACAACTGATGAACGAAAGGAACCGCTGCACTCCACATTTGACCAAAGCGACAGCAACTTCAAGTGGGGCGTTCTCCATTTCAGCAAGTCAACCAATTTCTCGCGTGAAAAGCAAGACTCCGTTGCGACACGGACTGAGATCAAGCGCAGCGCAGCCTTCAAACGAGCGTCGGCTTTGAGCGTGTCCTGTTCACGCTCAAAGCCGACGCTTATCTGATTGCACTGCTTCCGTAACGCAGAGCATAAAAGAAAAAGAAAAAAAAGCCAGGCGCGAACATGCAAACAGGCATGACAAGGTGCCGATTGGGGACTTTAAAAGCATTTGGCCACAAGGCGCAGGCTCGCAACGTGCCAAGCGCAAACAGTCAAAAACTAAATAAATCAACAATCGTCCAAGTGTTGGGAATTGCCCTTCATAAACTATTGACACAAAGTTACCCTAAAAAAGCAACGCATGAAAGATTGAAAAAGCGCAAAGTGGTCACGCTCCAGAAGACAAAAAGCGCCGTGAGCTTCGCAAGCGAAGATTACGCAACAGTGAGAGAGATGCACTTTTTGAAAGCAAAGCATGATTTCCGGCTTCTTTGAAACAGTGAAAGAATAATTGTCGAAAAATTCAGTTGGGACTGATTGGTGAGTAGGGAACGAGTGAATGACTCCAAACACAGCGGCAGGGTTTCAAATTGCTACCGAGTCAGGTTTTTCACAATGTCCGACATCAATGGCGCCCTGAATCATAAACAGGCAGCTGTCTGTGGTGGACGACGACGACCACCGAAGCGGTGAATGGATGACTCGCTAAACTCCCTCGACGGGGATCACGATGTCGTCGGCTCGATATGTTGAGTCGTCGCTACGAAGCAAAATCGTTTTGGGGCCGCTGCCCGGGCACCGTGACGTCGTTGCTGGCACGTGTTCGCAACGTTGCGCTTCAACAAATAAACGCATTCAAGTACTTCATGTACACGGGCTCCCTCTAGTGGTACGCAAACAAACAGCGCATCCGACTTGGCTTTATCGTGCATGTTGCAGAGGCCGGACATTTGGATTTCCCTTGAAAGTGCAACACACTTGCAGTGACTTGTCGAGAAGTGTTTGTTTTCCGACTTTTCTGGGGATCAAACGTTCTTCAAGACATTTTACTGGCGCATAATGTTCCAACAACAGCAAAGATACTTAGTTGGGGGGGGAGGGACAACACCCGCCGGTCGCCATGGCTACCCGGGCCCACCAGGAGGTTCACGCCAATTTAGCGGGCGGGCGCGGATGAGCCGTGACAGCCGGCCGGCGACCAATCGGAGGCGAGCCTTCAACTCCTCCGGGGTGGCGCTCGTCACGCCGTCATTAAAATCAAAATGTGGCAGATTGGAGGCCAGGGACGTGCAAATGAGATCGAGGACAGCAGGGGAGGGGGACTAAATGTCCCCCTCGCCAACCCCGAAACAATAGACTCGTCGCCTGAACCGATCACTTTTCCATCTCCGGGAACTTAGCGTTTCAACCACTAATGGAATGCACGCCGGTCAATGTCAGGTTGCAAATAGACAAACGAGCATTCGCGCCGATGAGCAAATTCGGACCCGCTTTCAAAGCCCCGACCGCCGTTCTGCCGGCAGCCCTCCGCGCTGCCCCTCTGCCGAATTCATTTTGAATCCATTGTAAGGGAAAAGGCGGATGCGGCAGATCGCCTTCCCTCGCCATCACCTTCGCCGTCACATGGTTCACACGCTGCGTGGTTGCCTTGACAACAGGTATCCGAGGAGAGAGGCTGCCTGAGGATTCAGTCGGTGTGTGTGCATGTGCGTGCGTGTGATGGGGGCTGATTGTGTATTCTGTGCTCGCCCGTTTCCCTCCCTGCTGCTGGAGACGGATGCGGCCCGAGCAGCCAAGCGTGCCGCCGGCATTGCGGCGCCAACTGGAGGAGCGCTCTGTGTGTGTGTGTGTGTGTGTGTGTGTGGTATCCGAGGAGAGAGGCTGCCTGAGGATTCAGTCGGTGTGTGTGCATGTGCATGCGTGTGATGGGGGCTGATTGTGTATTCTGTGCTCGCCCGTTTCCCTCCCTGCTGCTGGAGACGGATGCGGCCCGAGCAGCCAAGCGTGCCGCCGGCATTGCGGCGCCAACTGGAGGAGCGCTCTGTGTGTGTGTGTGTGTGTGTGTGTGTGTGTGTGTGTGTGTGTGTGTGTGTGTGTGTGTGTGTGTGTATTTGTCTCTTGTC